GTACGAATTCACCACGTCCATTAGTATTAGAGGCTTAGTTTTTCTGAACCGAGGTAGGACCGCGGCTTTAAACATAGGAAACGGCGCCTTTATCACAACGCTACCCACGTTCTTCTTCATTCGTAAGCATTGCTAAGTACAAAACATTCCATCAGGAAATTATTTTCTTGGCTTTCAGCTGTCTGCTGACTGACATTTCTATTTCAATCCTTCCTTCTTATTCATGGGTTTTTTGTCTCCGACATGAGAATTTCTTACCACAGTTTAAACAGCTTGCAAGTCGAAATTCTTTTGAACCTACCAGAGATATTTTTATCCTAGTTTGTTAGTTTACAACACTCAAAAAAATTTTAAGCACAAGTCTTATCTCGTAGTTGGGCAGTCGGTTAAAAACCTTTGTTAACCTTCTCATTTGTTACCGTTACCCATTCCTTTTGTAAAGGCACGTGTGGCGCAGTGGTGGGAGGCGCCCTACAACACACACGTGGAATCGATCTTCGCGCCCATGCCCACCAAGCCTCCTATCCCTCCGCAGTCGGAAAATTGGTACCAGACTTGTCTGGGAGAATAGCAGCGCTGGCTCGATACATCGGTAGGCTACCGCGAGTCATTGCAAAGGCCAGATATACATTCAATCACCCCGAAACGATGCTTAATGAAGTCGAATGCATGGCGCATCCTTCAGAGATTGGTCAACGCCTAGAGCTTTATCCTTCATTTTTATCCTTATTCCTTTGCTGCTAATACCAGTAACATTAATGCGATTATCAGCGAATACCGTTACCGTTATTGTTTTAACTAGCTTTTACTACTCATTCATACATTAATATTGCACATGTTACTATGACATTACTTATTTGCCCAATGGAGATGTCAACTTTCTATAATGTCGAGAAAAGTGATAAATTTCTTAGTTGTCTACAACGGTGCTTGTGTATCCGAAATCTCGACAATGCCGGAGTCCATAGGACGGGTTTTGGCTTCTCGTGCTCTGTTCACTTCAGGTGGAACTATGGAAATGGAAGCATGTCATTGTCACTTAACATATTAGTGTTCGCATACACTGATATGAATACACTAGTTGGCGGGCACAGTGGACCGTATGCATTAATTCGAATACGCACTATTTCTGACTTGATCTTGCCGCAAAGAGTTTGTTTTCTTTGCTTTGTGTATTCAATAGACTAACTTTTCCTACGCAGATGTTTTGCCAGAGGTATGAGCCATGTTTTCCATATACGTACCGCGTGTGATGTAGAAATGAAAAACTATATGCAGTCTCATCCGTTCTCAAAGATTTTTCATTTTCATGACACCTTTGCTGCGCGTATTCTGTAATCACGGACGTCGTTCGGATTAAAAATACTGAAACTGCCGTTGTTGAGAAAATATTGTTCTACACCAAAATGGTCTTGTTCGTACAATTTTTGGAACACTTCATGAAATTTTTTCTTCGACTTCTATTTTTTAAACTACTATGGGTAATTCGGACTGATCTGTTAAAGTAGTAAAATATTTTTTAGCAGTAGACACCATCGTGATGATTTTTATTGAAGGGCATCTAGTATTGTATAGTACTATTCATGCTCCATTCTAGATAAAACTTGTTTAGGCTCGAAATATCTTTTCCAATTAGTTTTGAGTGGAATTGCTTTTCGTCCTTCAAAAATATGGGTTGCGCTGACATGACATAATGAGCATGGCGAGCGCTGACGTCATACCGAAGAACAAGTGATTCTTTCTTGTAAATAGAGTGCTCACCTACTTGCTTAGGTATTTAGGAGGATCACCATCATATAAAAACGGAACGCTAGCACTAATCCCATTCGTTTCGTTGCCGTGCAACTGTCATCCATATGAGGTGGTCGGGTTTGGGTGTGGTTTGGGCCCTGGGTTGAAGATTTATCGTTTTTGTCCTTCATATCTGGTTGATCACATCATGCGCTAAACATTTTAGATGCTAATGCGGAGACTTTGCAAAAAAAATGTCTTGTCAGAAACTCCAAATTTTTAAAAAAGATTCAGGCGAAACCATAGGGGCAGCCAAAATTCACAATTCTTTCGTGTTGGAAAGGGATTGTATATGAACCAGTGATAAAATGTATAATAGAGCAATACAGTGGTCCCATGGGAAAGATTCTTCCATTCTCGTTGCACCGATGGAATGCTGGCCAGATGATAATATATTAACGCCGTGTTCCTCATCAGAGCGTTGACAATGCTTAGAACCGAAATACTTAGAGATTACTTAGGCACATCAAAAGCTTTCACTTTCAAAATTCCTTGCCGATTTTTTATTTCACTAATATTTTGTTGATTGAGTGAGTTGTTTTCTTCTAATTTTCCTGAAATACCACGACATCCGTGCCAGGGCGTTCCCAAGGCGTAGTCATCGCCGGCACTCGTACGTCACCTACTCTTGTTGATCGTTCAAATGGCGATGTAGTTAGTACTAGTAGTTTTTTTCTCCAACTCTCCTCATTTATCGAGTTCTTGCTTGTTTCTTATAATATGAGAGAAATTTTATGCGGGTTTTCTTTCCAAAATCCGTTTCTTCATAGAACATCCAATTAGGAAAGTTAGATTTTCTTCGAATCATCAAGATATTTCAACATCATTCCTCCATTGCTATAGCCTTGCTCGATTCATAATGGTGCTCTGCAAGTATCTGAAATCCAGTCATCCTACAATATGGCGCAAAAAATTGTGAAATTTTGAAATGAGTTGCCTAAAATCTGTCATTCCTCCTCTGAACAGTTGTGTTGATCCGGTCCGACCTTAACTCTTCTGTTTTTGTCGCCTTTGCATCTGATTGCACTCTACACTTTTTTATTGTTTAGTTGTCCCTATATGTTACATGTAGTGTAGTATTATCTTGATGAAAACTTGATGGTTATCAGGAAGACTAGATGGGTTTTCATAAGTGCATTTTCGCCATGTGCAACCCAGTGCCTAGTCTTCGTTTCAGTGGGTTGCATACTTTTCTGCAATTGAAGTAGCTGAAGAGTTCAGAACTTAAATGATTCATAAAACTGAACCTTGCTCTAATTCTCACACACATTAATATCTTCACATATTTACGTATTTATATATTCACATATTGTGTGGATTTTACCACTTCTTGCCCTCGATTCATTCGCTTCCACGCATCAATCATCTGCGATGATCCCCGAAGTTTGCGTGTGGTATTAGCAGTTGTTTGAAGATTTTTTGCCATTTGCATGTCGTTTATTGCTAGTTGACTCGATTCTCCCTGCAATCCTGGAAATGCGTTGCTAGGTTTTTTCCAGCTCTTGATAATCCTTTCTCAATTTCTTGATCCAGAAGAATCGGATGCTTGTTTGGCACGGTTCGGGATCGCACCAAGGCCTTGCACTTATTTAACGGCACCACCGCCACTGGGCTACTCATGCATATATACATATATATACATAATATATGTATTTTGACTGCTATTTTATTTTTATGAAGTTCTTGAAATATTTAGCACAGCTCGGAGGCCGAAGACAATATGTTCACTGAGAGTACCTTCACATCTTGCTGGATAAAATCCAGCACGTGCAATAGCTTTGCTGGTCTCGAAGAACGAGCATCAAGGACAAGAAGCAGGAAGAAGTTTAATGAGTTTTACAAGATCGTATTTCTTAAAATAGAACAACGAAACACTGCGAAATATTTGTAGCTTCAAACACTTTTTATTTTCTCTTATATAACGCTGAGATATTTGCAAAACTCCGGACCGCAGGTGTATACGGTGGGGAACGAACGCGCGCTATTGTCCTTACCGGGTAGTAGCGCACTTCACCACCACACCATCCGGGTCCTTCGCTTTGCCTGTCTCTCAGCTAGTTCTATCGATCTCTTGCCATCTTTTGCACCTTTTATTTTAACTGACGAATTTTGCAACTAGCTGAAGGTTTCTTTACTTGAAAAGATGTAAATATTTCTGGCTATTGAAAAGAATTTAAGGTGTCCTATACGAAAAATCACTGTATCGTATAGGATTTGAAAAAATTAGGTGCAGGTTTTTTGAGTCGAACCCTTCAATTTTTTCAAATAATTTACTTTTTGCTTCTCAATGGTTTACCGCCTCGCCGTGGCTGGAAGGTGCTCCTAGGTGTCGGGCTGCGATGTGCAACGGGGGATTCATCCTCTGGCAGGGCCTCCCAAGCTAAAAAGGAGTCTGGCGTTTTCACCAGAAAGCCCAGCTAAGAGTTAACCAATACTAGGATCCACCACCGCTGTGGTATCAAAGTAGCATGGTGGCAAATCTTCCTTTGATCCGCAAAGGCTGCGGCTGCCTGTGGTGGTGAAGACCTGAAGCAGACTTTGGCCAGCCTGACTTCGGGATTTCAAGGAACCACAATAGGTTAACCAGCGAATCTCCGAAAAAGGGAGATCATGCTGGAGCCGGCACAACCAGTGAGCACGGGCGTTCAACTATCAAGTAATTTATTTTAGGTCCGTGCTAAGATTTCGTGGCTTTTGAATTTTTCAATAACTTTTCTCGCTCTTCTCCAACCCTTATGTACTCTATATTATTATTATTATACTATTATACTTCAGCATTCTCACTTATTGAATAGCGTTTGGAATAAATTATTGTACATTTTTGCGTGAAAACCTTCTCACTTTCCTTTTTTTATTTTCCAGTTCATATCCTTACCAGCTATGGAAAATATTACATTTCTTTATCCTTCTTCTATCTTCTTCTTTTATCTTTTTTTTTATTAGCACTGAAAGCATCTATGAAAATTGCTTCGCTCCGAATGTTGTGTTCTTTCTTGTCGAATTTCTCTGGCATAACTAAATGCAAGGCTTTTCCTTTTTTGTTGAGTGTGCCGTTGTCATTCTCTTTAAATCGTGTCGTAATCTCCATGTCCTTTTTTGCTCAGATTTTCACAGGAATATAAGAAAATTTATGCCTAAAATGGAATACGATTTCCTTTTTCTTATAGATTGGAAACAAGAGAAAAGAGAGTCAAAAGAGTTAAAAAGCAATGAGTCATAAAATGTCCTCAACTGATCCACCATCAAAGAAGATTAGTGTGAGCAGTGCTGGTGCTGAGAGTGAAACACCACCGCGTAAGAAAAGCAGTCTCAAAGAGAACATCTGCAGCCTTGTGCGAGCTCCGAACTTCGTACTGAATCGGGAAGCAGCAAAGTAAGTACATATAGTCGTTTTTGTCTGAAAGTTTTACGAAAACCGACTTTCTATTGAACCTAGTCGTTATGCTAATGTATTCTTGATAAGTTTGTACGATGTACTACCGTATGGAAACGTGTAATTCATAAGTTCTACCTTTTCGGCAGACGTCTTAACATTTTTCAAGCTTGGAAAAGGTCAAAAAACACGTGAAGCTTATTTTTTGGGCTATTTTCTTAACACCAACAAAAGAACAGTTTAGGTTGGAATGAAGTAACGAGCAATTCAATAAGGTATTTTAACGACTTTTTTCGCCAACGTTTTGCAAAATGAGACTATCAGCTGCATTGATTTCACAAAGAATGAAGAATGTTCTTATCCGATATTGGAAAACTGGTCAGCATTATTATTTGTGATCACTTGATTTCCAAGTCGTTTGTTATTTTTTGTGGTGTATGGCGCACTGGTCGGAGGGGCCCAGTCGCACACAAGTGGAATCGTTCCCCGCGCCTATGGCTCACCAAGCTTTCCATTCCTTCGGTGTTATCGGTATCAGACTTGTCTAGGAAGATAGCAACGCTGGCTCGATACATCGGTAGGCCACTGCGAGTCATTGTAAGGGGCAGATATACATTCAATCACCTCCAACGATACTTAATGAAGTCGAATGCATGGCGCACCCTTCAGAGATTAATCAACGTCAAGAGCCTTGTCCTTTTTTATTTTTGTTATTTCTCACTTTTGCTATGTTGTGAAGAATGCGAAATCTGCAGAGAATTCGAATTTTGTGAAAATAAAGTTACCTCTCTCAGCCCATCAAGAAGCCGCAGTAATCTATTCCATTTTGAGAGAAAACGTTTGTTAAAGATAAAGTTGCAACGTTAGAGGTTTCATCGCAGAAAGAAGAAAAGAAGTAAGGAGCAGAAAATTCGACGACATGGGTTATTTTCTAGTTTTAATCGTTTAGAAAAACTTTTGCTTCAACTTTACGGACCCTATAGCCCACTTCACGTAATTTCCGCAGATTTCTGTATTTTAGGCTAATCCTCAAGTTTTTTGTTATTCAAACTGAAGGAAGGTGGTGTAATACAGGTATTCATTGCTGTTTGATAAATGGGAGAATCGTCTTTATTGAAAAAATCGGGCGGGTCTGAGAAAAATTCACATTAGACTCTTCCCACTCGCTTGATAGACCATCCTGTCGAGGACGGTAGTCACAAGGACCACTTAGCAGAACGGATCACCCTGTTGTTAAAGTAGCGCTTTAAATCACGGTAGAAAGAGGCATAAAGGATAAGGCTTGAGTTGTTTGTTAATCTTCTAGGGATGTGCCATGCATTAGGCTCCATTCATAGCGTCGTAGTGGTGGTTGAATGCATACCTGACCTACACAATTACTTGCGGTGGTCTGCCGATGTGTCCAGTCAGTACTACTATCCTACCAGAATGACCAGATACCAATTTCCAGACCACGGAGGGATGAAAGGCTTGGGAAACCTGGTGCGCAGGACCGAGCCAAGTTCCTTGCTGGTATTTCAGGACACCTTTAACCACTGCGATACAAGCGTCCAGTAAATGCGATAGAATATTTAAAGAATAAAAACACGAAACGCCTACATTCATGGAGTTCTGTGTCAGTTAGAAGAATATGGATTCAATCGATGTATTGACCAGTGCTCTGCATTTTTTCAGGAGGCGTTGGAATCAGGTATGCGAGAATTTGCGTCTGAACAGGATCAAAGTCGCAGTCACTGAATCGAAGTTGTTTGCTCCAGGTACGTTCTTTTGCGATTACGGTAGTTCTTTGGTCGGAGAAGAGCGAAGGACTTAAGCCAATGACATTTTTGGATATCAGCTCATGAAATTTAATCGTAAAACCCTTCAAGTTCAAATTTTCTAAAAATCTCGATTCATCTCATCTCTAAAACGATCGTGAAAGGATTCACTTGTGACTAGAAAATCTTCAATGTCGTCTTCGATATAAGAAGGTGCTATAAAATTTTAAAAAAAAGATGCTAAAAAACAAATGAATGGAGATATTGCTACTTCCTTTTCTCAGACATATTCTTTAGATAATGAAAGCGAAATAGTGAGAATCCTTTAGAAAATTCATCGTTCTTAAAAGTTTTTAGAAGATCCACTATGCTTAAAGAAAGTTCAGTATCAACTTGACGTCAGTTGATTAACTCGAAAATGAGTGAACTGGAAATCCTGACAAGTTTGGAAAATTTTAACCCTTCCTAGTCACTTACGATAAAGTGCTCATTTCGTATGATCGCTCAGTGTCAGCAAAGAAATTTGAACCACTCAAAACTATTTTATTATTTTATTTTACTTGATCAGTCTTCACGTCTACTGAGCGGACCCCAGCACTTCTCACATCCGATTCTTTTCTTCACATTCATTGTTCACGAAGGTCTCCCAACTTTTTACGTGTGGATTCAGTTGCTGCTTGAGGATTTTCATTTCATCTTGAATGTCGTAGAATGCTGATCGAGCATTTCTCCCTGGAATCCTGAGGTAGCCGGGGCGGAGCGTTCCCAGTTAGATTGCAGAAAGTGATTTCTTCCAGAAAAGTTTGGTACTATTTTCCGACGCTGGAGGGATGAGAGACTTGGTTGGCCCGGAGCGGAATCGAACTAGCAACATGCTTGTGATGACAGGCTTCACTACCACTGTGCAATCCACCCCTAATCAAAAAGAATTATCTCGAAATTTTAACTAAGATAGGGTTCAGGATCGGTTTATATTTGATTATTTCTTGTCTCAGTGCTGATTTTTCAGCATGTCATACTTTTCCTGCATTTCCTTACTATAACGTAAACATTGCTGTCTGCCAGCTAACGGTATCGTCATTCGCTGACTGACGTGGAATTAACCTAATATCTTTGCTAACTCTCATTTTGTCATGTTCTTTCAATTTATATACAGCATGATTAAAAATTAACTCTCTGTTTCAAAATCCTTTGTTTTACTTCTTTACTCGCAAGAACTTTCTAAATTTTTCCAAGAAGCGGCAATGAGCAGAAACGAGCAGCATGGAGTTTTGTTTAAAATTTACCCAAGTCACCCAGAAAACGCATCAGAATTTCGTCACGAACTATGCTAGGATACCAACCTCGTGTCGGCTCAATAATCAGAGAATTTGTTGATTATTTATACCGAGGCTAAATAAAAAGGATAAAGCTCTCGGCGTTTTTCAATCCCTGAGAGTGCGTCATACGTTCGACTTCACTAAACATCGTCGGAGGTGACTGAATGCACATTTGGCCTGCACAATAACTCACGGTGGCTGACCGTTTTATGGAGTTAGCGCTGCTATCCTCTCAGACAGGTCTGGAACCAATTTTCCGTCCTCGGTGGGGTAGATGAACCTGGGACACGGGACTGAACCCATACATACATTGTAGGGCGCCTCTAACCGCTGTGTTACACGCACTTTGAGGCTAAAATCAACGGCGGTTTTTAGAAATGTGCTACTACGGTATGTATCAAATAGTGTGCAACCGATTGCTGCAGGGCGCATAGCTGGCAAAAAGGTAGATCATATCGGATTGCGGTAGTGCATCAACATCTGTTCTGTTTGAAAAGATACCGTTGAGTGAGATTCTTCATTCGATCGGTGTTCCAAATCACTGAATTCGACTCGGTGCGGTAACTAACCATATTGTGGAGACCACAACCTGTGGATCATCGACTGTAATCATTTGCCTCTGAAGGCAAAGGCTTCGAAACATAAGCCGAATAAATATTTTTACACTAACCTTGTGTCAGTTCAGTAATCGAAAAAACTATTAACTTCTTATATGAGCTCTTTAAGTTCTTCCAAAGTCGTTGGTTTGGCAGAGTAGACTTGCTCCTTCAAGCAATCCCAGAGGAGAAAGTCATGAGTCGGAGCCTCAGGCTAGCCACTCATGCGGACCACGATAATCCATCCATCTCGCAAGGTAGTGGGCATTGAACATTTCACAAAGAAAGATAGCTTTTATACGATGCTGAGATATTTGCAAAGCTCCGGACCGCAGGTGTATGCGGTGGGGAACGAACCTGCGCTGTTGTCCTTACCGGGGAGCAGCCTACTTCACCACCACACCATACGGGTCCTTGGTTTGCTTGTCTCTCAGCTAGTTCTAATGGCAGGGTCGATAGAACTAGCTGAGAGATAGGCAAAACCAGGGACCCGGATGGTGTAGTGGTGAAGTGGGCTGCTCCCCGGTAAGGACAACAGCGCAGGTTCGTTCCCCACCGCATACACCTGCGGTCCGGAGCTTTGCAAATATCTCAGCATTATATAGGAGTTATATTTCGCAACATACCCTGCCATTAAAAAGAAAAAGGCAGTAAATAAAAGGGTAAAGATAGGTTTTTTAAAGATAGAAAACTTCGGCTTTTGAAGAAGGCAAAAGTTACTGAATCGTCAACATTTCTGAAGTAGATGAAGTTGGAGCAGTTTTGTAACAGCCGTTAAGAATTCGAAAACTGATAGAACCTGATATAAAAGCTTTGATGGTGAGAAGACTTTTGGCAGTTTTTTCGAAAAGTGATATGATCCGAGCAACATTATTAATTAATGAAAAAAGAAGTAAATTGAAAATTATGCAAAATTAAGAAGAACCACGTCACTTTTGGTTCCCAAACAAATGTAGATTTCCCTGCTAGGCTGCGGTGATTTTTACTAGATCTCCATCTAACCAGTCTGTCGTCTCAAAGATATATTTTTGACATATTTACCTTTACTAGTGTCGATGTCCATTAAAAATTTTCGTGAAAAGAATTTTTAACAGGTAAAATGAACAATTTAGGAGGTAGATAGCACAGTGGTAGTGATGTCCGTCATCACAGGCAAGGTATTGGTTCGATGCCGCTTTGGGCCAACCAAGTCTCTCACCCCTCTGGGGTTGGGGAATTGGTACTCGACTTGTCTGGGAAAAAATAACTTTCTGTAATCCAATTGAGAACGCTCTAGCCCGACTATTTCTGGATTCCAAGGAGAATCGACTCGACCAGCATTCCACGACATTCAAGATGAAATGAAAATCCTCAAGCAGCAACTGGAGCCACGAGTAAAAGTTGGGATGCCTTCGTGGACAATGGATGAGAGGAAACGAATCGAATGTGAGAAGTGCTGAGATCCACACAATAAAGATGAAGACGAATCAAATAGAATAAAACAGAGGACTTGGATATTTAGTGTTCATTTTCAGTTCGGCGGGCTTCAAAACTTCTTTGTTACACTATGTATATTCATTCGATAGCTATTCGGTGCTGGAGAGATTGAGTCGGAGTCTTTTCTTCATTTAATGATTTACAAAATACCGTTCATACCCATAGAGCAAAGTCTTTTTTACGATCCTGTCGCGTTCACATCTCCTTAAGTCTTCTAGTTTCCTAGAAATTGTTTACCCACCAACTCCAAGGGGGGAAGGGGGGGGGGGGGGGAGGGGGGGGGGNAGGGGGGGGGGGGGTGGAAGTGGAGGGGCGAAACACTGCAGTTAAGTTGTGAATAAAAGGTATTGTAATTTGCAGAAATCAAAAGAAATACTTGAAAAGGATTTGAGCCTGCCTTTAAAAATGCTGTAATCGCGGTTACATGGCGTTTGGGTTGAATGATCATATTTTATTCGATGGAGTAATGTTCTCGTTTTTATGGACTCTTGCTTCAGTTTACTTTTTTTCCAACGTAACCCCAAGTTACATGACTGTTCTCCAACGTTTTTCAGCCGTCGTTGACAAGCTGTGTCTCGATGCCTCTGAGACTGTATTACTGCTGATCTTATTCTAAGCCCTTGTCTTAATACTCGTGCTTTCACTAATTTGTTTACAATACGAATCTCACCAGTTTTTTATGAATAGTTCTGGTTTAACTGCAATGATGCTGAGATATTTGCAAAATCCCGTAACGCAGGTGTTAGTAGTGAGGATCGAGAAAGCTATTACTTCGGCGACTAATGCCCTCTCTGCCACAATGCGGATTCTTCGTTTCGTCTTTCCTGCAGCTAGTTTTTTTGTTAGATAGGAAACTAACTGAGAGAAAGGTGAAGCAAAGGACGCACATGGAATGCGTTGGCTCCTGGACCGGAGTCTTGCAAATGTCTCAGCATCGTTGTAGTTGTATTTCACGGCACTCCCTGCCATGAAAAACAGTAGGCAGCGAATAAAAAGGGATTAAAGTGCCAGTCCACATTTTTCTTATTTTGATAGAAAAAATAATTCCAATAAAAATGAAACTTGTTTTTTTGTTTTTCTTCGTTTACCTTCACTTTTTTCCTAGTCGTATTATAGGCGATATTGATGGAAATGACATAGAATTAACTAACAAATATGTGTATGCGAGCAATGAGAGTAATTCATTCCCAAGTGGACCGGAGAGTTTATGCATTGGCTTAAATGGACATCCTTTCCAAATGTTTGCTTTGCTGCGAAGAGTTAATTTAGTATGTTTTTGTATCCAATCACTAGCTAACACAGGAAATTAGAGTTAGTGGCTCATTTATTTTTAGAATAAAAAGCAAAAGCAACTTTGTGACGTTGGTGTCATATTAGCTTCAATTAATTTTCAGTTGTTTTCACTTCTTGTTGTCCTCATTTAGCCATTTGAACGGGCGTCAGTAAACTATTCATTTATAACTGCTTTGTTCAAATATAGTCCAGTCGGTTCCGATTGCTCAAAGAGGAATTTGAAGAGCACTATATTGCTCTCCAGGAGAGCCGCGAAAAAGTTTGACCAAAAGTTAGATGGTCTTCCTTCTGCTGTATGTTTGACGTCGTGCTGGGTTCAGTTCCTAGTGGCTCTTCTCCATCGTCTGTCGTTGTTAGTAAACATCATGTGTTTGGCCTATTTGATTTTCGACATGTAGGACTATAAGGCGGTGTCGCAATGTTTGATCGTCTGCTTATTAGTTTTGCACCACCACCACCATTCTCTCACTTTCTCTGTTGTCACTTTTCTGAAATTGAATACCCCCAACATCGTTTTCCTAATATCTCCTTCGATGATTCTAGCTGATCTTTCATTCTACTGACAGACATCAACATTCACAATGTGCAGAGGTCGTGGCATGAATAACTACGGAGTCGAAGAGTTCGACAAAGAGCCTGTTGTTTCTTGTCCTCTTCATTAAATTACCGATATTTTTCGAACAACTTAATTTTTTTCTCGGTTCTTCAGCGAAGTTACTTAATGTTTTATCTTTCCTACCCAGATTTACGTTGGTAAGTCATCAGAGGCACATGCGTGGGATTTAGTAGTAATATTAAAACATTGCCATCAATAATAGGGGGACGGATAGCACAGCGGTAGTGCTGCCGATCGTTACTAACACGGTACTGATTCTGTCCCGCTCGTGCTCACCAAACCTCTCCTCCCTCCGGAATTAGGAAGCTGGTAGCAGATTTGTCTGGGAAAAGTTCACTGTCTATAACCCAGGTGCGAACGCTCTAGTCCGGGTACCTCACGATTCAAGGGAGAAATGCTTGACCAGCATTCTACGGCATTCAAGAAGAAATGGAAACCATCAAGTAGCAACCGAAGCCGCACGTAAAATTTGCAAGACCTCCGGGGACGATGGATGCGAGGAAACGAATCAAATGCATGAGGTGCTGGGATCGGCGCAGTAGGTGTGACGGGTCGTGCGAAAAAATTGTAAGTAATAGTGATAATGAAAACAATAAAAGCGATGTTATTCAGTAATAATTAAATTAGTCGTAGTATCAACTTTTTATTTACCGCCTTTTACAAGTTTTCACAGCAGAGTATTATTTGTCAAACAATCACAATTATGCTGGAATATTTGCAAAACTCCGGACTTGATTGACCCATGCGGTGACTCCTGGTGGCAGTGATTTATAGAACTAATTGAGAGACAGG